CAACCCGCCCTTTACTCGAGACATGTATAGTCTTCTGACGAAAGCTTTTAGCTAAGAAGTGAAAGAATTTACTTTTCATGAGACACGGAATAATACACAGATCATCTACTTGGCCCTTCTAACGTTTTTTTTTTTTTTTTTTTTTGGGGGGGGGGGGGGGGGTATTTCGTTAAACGAAAGCCCTTGCTTAAAACGTCTTTCGTAATCATGAATGGGCGAGCCGCTATTTGCTCTGCTCCTTGCGCAGATTCTGAAAAGCCCTTCATGTTGAGAGCCATTTCATGACAAAATGCCCTTGATTGGAGCGTCTCTCATACTTAACCTTCAGATAAGAACTGCGAGAGCCTCCTTTTCCATGATTGTCAATGTAGAAGCCGAACTCGTTTGAAACTCAGATATAAGCACAGTAGCTTCTGATACTTGCAATGTTTTGCAAAGAAACTTCAACTAACTTGATGCTCTTCCATAGAAGGAGCCCCATGGATTTCCAAATGAGAAGCCGAAACGCAACAGCCTTGTGAAAGCCCAGTAAGGGGTCGGAAGAATTGCTAACAGTATTCTCTTAAGGCTCCTTTATAATCCTATGAACCCTAAACCCGAAACCCTAAATGCTAAGACCACTTTTGCACATGCCCGGGCCTGGGACATGGTCCCATCCGTTTTGGGATCTTTGGGGAAATTCTTAGAACTGTGAGTTCTTGTCACAGCAGGGCTTCCCAAAACATTCGCCCTAAACCCTAAACCCTAAACCCTAAACCCTAAACCCTAAACCCTAAACCCTAAACCCTAAACCCCTAAACCCTAAACCCTAAACCCTAAACCCTAAACCCTAAACCCTAAACCCTAAACCCTAAACCCTAAACCCTAAACCTAAATTCCTCCCAAACAAAAACTCCAGAAGTTCGATAAGAACACCCGCAAAAGGTCTAGGCTCATGGGGGGTCCAGGATGTGGCCCCCTCCGTTTTGGGAGCCTCTTGTTTGGGGAAGTTTTTTGGGAACTGGGCATGTTGCCAGGAACTTTTGGAATGTTGGAGGTTGTTGATGGAGATTACTTGAGAACTTTGGGGGACCCTCTGCTTCTGGGCTTCCAAGGCTTGAAGCTTGGGAACTGCAGGGGAGTTTGGACTTCGATCCTTGACTGGGCGTGTGGGACCTGGGACATGGCGCCGGAAGTTGTGCCACGTCGGAGTTCTAACAGTTCCCCCCCCCTAAACCCTAAACCCTAAACCCTAAACCCTAAACCCTAAACCCTAAACCCTAAACCCTAAACCCTAAACCCTAAACCCTAAACCCTAAACCCTAAACCCTAAACCCTAAACCCTAAACCCAAAAAAAAAACATGGGGACCATGGCCCGGTGGCCAAAATTTCCCCCAAAAAAAACGTCCGAAAGTTCTACAAAGTTCCGAAGCTTCCTTTTTTTTTTGGTGTTGCAGAGGTTGCCTAGGCAAGCCTGAAGCCTCAAACCCACCTCGTCAGTTCCAAGCTCGACCCGTGCCCAATTGGGGGCTCGGGGTACATATTGACATAAATCAACCTGTACTTGCAACCCACCTACTAGGCCCCTTGAGTGCCCTAAAAAGGTTATAGGTGGGTCATGTGCACGGTTACTCTAGTGGGTTGGCAAGTACCATGAACCTCCAAGTACCCATTGAGGGCGGCCCCCCAGGGTCGCGCAGGGCCTGGGCGCATGGGGAGTGCTTGTGTGCGACTCAGACCCTTGGAACAGTTCGGCGGATGTGTGGGTTCTCAACTCCACGTTGCACTGACAACCCCTAAACCCTAAACCCTAAACCCTAAACCCTAAACCCTAAACCCCAAACCCCAAACCCTAAACCCTAAACCGCAAAACCCGACAGTCTGCACCAGCAAGACCACAGGCGTACATGCACCATTTGCTAGCTTTCCTGATCGAGTTTTCTCTCCAAAATCATGGTCACTTTGGGGGTTCCTACCATAATGTGGAGCCCTGAGACACTAGGCTAGGCTACACCCCAAAAAGGCCCCCTCTTCTTGGCTGGTGATCAGATTCTGGGCCTTTGAGCCTGCAGAAGAATCCTGCTAGTGGGTGCGCAGGCTTTGCACTGGGGAGTTCTTCGGGTTCACTCCAAGGGCCACATCGCACCAATCACACTGTACAGTGTCAGGCGTTTCACGGCGGCCTGCAAGAGATCAGATTGGGCTGCCTGTTGCAGGATGCATTCTTCAAAAGTGTCCACGCTCAGCCTTGTTTTCTCATTCAGTGGATTCTAGTTCCGTGTCTGCTGTTGTGATCTCCTGTGGGCCGCCGTGGCCTGGTGTACCTCTGGCCTAGACCGTCCATATGCCACGGTCTTGGCCGATGAGACCCTGGATGGGGGCGAAGATAGGCGTGTTGAGAGCATCGGATAGCAGCATCGGATAGCAGCATCGTACGAAGTGAGCGATAGAGTGTCCAGGACTTGGCAAAAACTAAGGGGTATAAGGAGGGACCCCTAGCACCCCCTAGCAGGGACCCTTAATCTTATTCCCCTTTCTGCCCCCTTTTTATACCTTGTATCGTCCCTATATGCCTAGAAACCCCAAAATGACCCCTAAAAAGCCCCCAAGGTCCCTTGGAAGGGTCCCTCCTTTAGTCCCTAAACCCTAAACCCTAAACCCTAAACCCTAAACCCTAAACCCTAAACCCTAAACCCTAAACCCTAAACCCTAAACCCCTAAACCTAAAACCCTAAACCCTAAACCCAAAACCCTAAACCCTAAACCCTAAACCCTAAACCCTAAACCCTAAACCCTAAACCCTAAACCCTAAACCCTAAAACCCTAAACCCTAAACCCTAACCCCTAAACCTAAACCCTAAACCCTAAACCCTAAACCCTAAACCCTAAACCCTAAACCCTAAACCTTCAGCTTCCAAAGTTCAGGGTCTTTTTGTCCAAAGCGTTGTATGCCGGCAGCTTGATGCACGCGGCGGTTGTCCACGTGGGGCGCTCCCTGAGTCCCTCAAACCCCCCCATACTTTAAACACATTCTCCGGCTGTGTCGGAACCCTAAACCCTAAAACCCTAAAAAACAAACCCTAAACCCTAAACCCAAAACCCTAAACCCTAAACCCTAAACCTTAAATCCTAAATCCTAAACCCAGCCCAAACCTGAAGCCGATTTTCCCTTCTCTCCAGTTTGGCTTACAGTGTGGACGTATGGCATTCCTGCAGTGTGGTTGCGAGGCTGCTGCTAGGCGGGTAAGCCCTACACATCCCTGCTGGGCTTGTCGCCCAGCTACGCGGACAGTACTGTAAGCCCATCGCAAGCTCGGAGCCCCATAACCCCACACCCTAAACCCTAAACCCTAAACCCTAAACCCTAAACCCTAAACCCTAAACCCTAAACCCTAAACCCTAAACCCTAAACCCTAAACCCTAAACCCTAAACCCTAAACCCTAAACGGGGCCGTGGGGCCCATGGTTCGGGACAGCCGCGCAGGGCACTCGAACTGGACGCGGCAAGTTTTGGGTGATTTTCGGCCTCACAGGTGCAGGCGCTCCCCATCACAGAAACTCCGTGACGAAGGGACTATAATGACTCGAGGCTGATTTGGAAGTAAAAGAACAACCCTAAACCTCAAAACCGGAAACCTGAAAGCTTTTAAGGTTCAGGGTTTACGGCTGCTGCAAAGGTTTCTGGAGTGCTGCAGTGGGGGCCAGGCTAGGCAAACAGGGCAGCAGTCGAGTTCTTTGGGAAAAAGGGTTTGGGGTTTAAAAGGTTTGACCTTAAACCTTAAACCTTGAACCCCTCTAAACCCTAAACTGACCTTAAACCTTAAACCTTAAACCTTAAACCTTAAACCTTAAACCCCTCTAAACCTTAAACCCTTTGGGTTTAGGGTGTGGGGCTTGCCCCTTCAACTTCCTACGCATCCTCAAGGTGGGCCCCAATAACTTAGGGCGAATCTTGAAAGCTTGGCCGGGTACTTAGGGTTTAGGGTTTAGGGTTTAGGGTTTAGGGTTTAGGGTTTAGGGTTTAGTGTTGACTTTGGGGTTTGCTTTGAAGGTTCATGGGTAGTTACGAGTAGGGTTCTGAGTAGCCGAAATAGTGTTATGACCAGTAGCAATACATATACCCCGCTTGTAACTACCCATGAACCTCCGAGTAGGGTTTAACCCAAGATCTGGCTAGCCTGCCGAGTCCAGATGCACATGAGGGTTCTGTAGTCACCGAGTCCAATTGCAATTCAGGGTTGGGATCCATGAGTATTCAGTGATTAGAGAGGGCTCCTGAAGCATTCCCAACAGAGCTGCACAAACCTACATCCACGCGCGCAGCGCGAGGTATAGAGGGTTCACCTGCACTCTGTGGTTGGCTGAAGTCTGGCCGTCCCTGCTGACTGCAAAAAAACAATCCTCAACACAGCGTGAGTCGAGCAAGAAAAAGCGTCCGAAGTGTGCGAAGTTGTTTTTTTATTTTTATATCTTGCCAGGAGCCATGCTGGCCCCCACCCCCCCGCCCCTTGTGTATATTTTTCAGTCCTCCGAACGTGTTTTTTTGACCCAGATCCAACAAGCGTATGTCAAGCCTACGAGGTGTGGGCAGGTTATGAGGTTATGCAAAGGGGCCTTCCGCAGCAGGTACCGGAGTGTTCGAGGAAGGATCCGTCCAAAGTCGTCGTGGCCCGAGCCCTGGCGCTCTCTCCGTGCTGCGGTGGTTGAGTGGAACACTGCAAAGCCCGAAGCCAGCAGAGATTCTTGGAGACCCTGAACAGCTCTAAGCCCTCAAGCCCTCAAGCCCTCAAGGCCCCGAAGTGCCCAAGTGCCTAGCCGTTCTGGCCTAAGAGTGCTTTCAGCTCGCACCTTCCGAAAAATCGTCGCCCTCCCTCTCTTTGGCACCGTCATGTCGGGATATCCTGCAGTTCGCACCACGAAGACGGGAGATGTGGCCCCCAGCGAGGCGTTGAAGCTCCTTGAGGCGGGCAATGCTCGCTTCGTTGCGGGCAAGCCGCAGTCCACCACCACCAACGCCGACATGCGAAACTGGGTAGTGCTTAGGGATAATTTTTGAATTTCCCTCCTTTCCCTTCCTAAGGGAACATAATTCACAGATAGTTTTCCAAGGGCTTTAAGGCACCACTCAGGAAAGCTGCTGGTGGAGGAAGGCCAGGCCCCCCACACCGCCATCATCGGCTGCGCAGACAGCCGCGCGCCCCTGGAGAAGATCTTCGACGCCCTGCCCGGGGACATCTTCGCGCTCCGCAACGCTGGGAACACCTGCACCCACGCCGAAGGCAGCTTCGTTGGGAGCCTGGAGTTCGCCACCGGAGCCCTGGGGTCTCGGCTGATTCTCGTCCTTGGGCACACGAAGTGTGGCGCCATCTACGGCGCCACCAAGGGGTACTTCGATGCAAAGCTGGGGGCCAGCTCCGCCGGCTCGGCTCTGGAAGGCCTTCTGCACGATCTCGGCTCCGTGGCGGAGGTGGCAGCCGGCGAGATGGGCGCTTCTGCAGAGTTCGAGACGGTGGCAGCTCATGCGGTCAAGGTGAATGTCTTCCACACCATCAGCTTCCTGCTCAAGTACAGCAAGAGCCTCCGCTCTCAAGTTCAGAGCGGCAAGTTGGAGATCCATGGCGGCATCTATCAGCTGGAGACGGGCAAGGTGGAGTTCTTGGGGCCCTCGCCGGAGCAGGCGCTTCTGATCGCCGAGAGCGTCACCGCAGTGCCTCCCTCACTGCTCGCTCCGAAGGAGGTCGCCCCGGCATCAGTTCGCACCGCGGCAGACTCAGCTGTGGCTCCGCAGAAGGCGCTGGAGTACCTCCAGACTGGCAACAAGCGCTACGTGTCGGGCACTCCTACGGCTCCTGCTACGACCCAGGACATGCGCAAGGCCTTGGTGGACAAGGGCCAAGCACCCCACGCCGCCATCATCGGCTGCGCGGACTCCCGCGCCCCGGTGGAGACGATCTTTGATGCGGCACCTGGCGACATCTTCGTCTTACGAAATGCCGGCAACACCTGCACCCACGCGGAAGGCAGCTTCATCGGGAGCCTGGAGTTCTGCGTCGGCAAGTTGGGTAGCCGCCTCATCGTTGTCATGGGCCACACGAACTGCGGCGCCCTGGCCGGGGCCGCCGGCACGTACCTGTCCGTGAAGGAGGCAAGTGAGACAAAGGCACCAGGTTGTGCGCTTGAGGGCCTCCTGCAGGGCCTGACATCTGTGGCAGCCCAAACGGCTCAGGAGCTGGGAGGTGAGCCCAGCGCCGCCGACATCGCGTCGGCCGCCGTGAAGGTGAACGTGTTCAACACGATCCACTTCCTCCTCAAGTTCAGCGAGCCCATCCGCGCCCTGGCCAAGAGCGGGGACTTGGAGATCCATGGCGCCGTGTACAAGCTGGAGACCGGGGAGGTCGACTTCTTCGGCCCCTCCCCAAAGCAGGCCGAGCTCCTGGAGTCCAAGTTGCACATCCCTCCCTCCATGAGCGGCTCCGCAGATGCCATGGCCCTCATCGGCGCCCACGGCGTCCGCACCCCGCAGGACCCGCCGATGCCCGCCCCGGCGGCCCTGAAGCTCCTCAAGGAGGGCAACGAGCGCTTCGCGGTGGGTGCACCCATTGCCGGCCGCATCGACTCCAAGATGCGCAAGGCCTTGGCGACCGTGGGCCAGGCGCCGCACACGGCCATTCTCGGATGCGCAGACTCCCGCGTGCCGTTGGAGTTGGTCTTCGATGGCCTGCCCGGTGATGTGTTCGTGCTCCGCAACGCCGGCAACACCTGCGTGCACTCCGAGGGCAGCGTCATGGGCTCGCTGGAGTTCTGCACTGGTGCCCTTGGCACCAAGTTGATCCTGGTCCTTGGCCACACGAAGTGCGGTGCCATCAACGGTGCCACCAAGGACTACCTGGCGAACAAGGGCAAGGCCCGCGACGAGGCACCAAACGCCCTGGGCGCCCTGCTTCAGGGACTCAACGATGTGGCCAAGAAGGCAGAGGAGGAGCTTGGTGGAACACCGAAGGAGGAAGAGATCGCAGCGCATGCCGTGAAGGCAGGAGGGTCGTTTTCTCGTCTTCTCCCGGATCAGAAGTCCTTGCCTACATGTGAATTACCTAACTTAAGTGTACGTGGCGCACGTGACTCGGAAGTGGGGTGGGTGCGAGATCCAGGGTGCACTCCTCAGGTCAACGTCTTCAACTCCATGGACTTCCTGGTGAAGAACAGCCCGACCCTTCGGAGTAAGGTGGAGTCTGGTGAGGTCGAGATCGAGGGAGGTATCTATGACCTCGACAGCGGCCGTGTGCGATGGATCGGAAAGAGCCCCAATGCCATGGCCAAGGCGTAAGGGGCGCCCCCAGGGGATGTAGCTTGCATTTCTCTCTCCATGCGCTGGAAGCACCTCACAACTTTCATTGTGGGTGTGTACCCCAAGCCATTTTGTGGCTCGCTGAAGAGCAAAAGTCTCAGGATGATGTGACGTCACAAAGTACTCGGAGCAATTGTTTTTTTTTGCCGGCCCCTTTGCTTGACCCCAAAGAAGCTCAGGAGCCAGATTACACAGAGCGCGAAGCATCCAAGCTTTGCACGTTTCTTGGGGGGGTTTTCAGAGCCTGTAGACGGCTTAGAGGGTGCCTATTCGGAACACACAAAGCTTTGACGTCCCCCCCAGCAAGTGGGAGCTTCTCAGAATTTGCTTAAAGCCTCGAACCACCGAAGCCCAAAGCCCTAACTCCTGAAGCAGCCCCTGTAAATATCCCCCCCCCCTCCCTCCCCTTCCATCTGAGAGCTCTCACCTCTGAAACAGTCAGCCCTGCGACCCGGCCCTCCGGAAGTAAGGACAAAAAGGTTTAGGGTTTAGGGTTTGGGGTTTGGGGTTTAGGGTTTAGGGTTTAGGGTTGCTCCCTAAGCCCGGCCGGGGTCCCGCGGCTGAAGCACACGGTGTACATTTTTTCTACCTTTTGAGGTGCGACTTCTTTCTTAGAGGAGCCTTAGCACTCTCAGACTCCAGGGCCTAAAGGGCCCTAAACCCACTTGCAGACACGTGCCGAAAAGTCAGGCGCCTCGCCCTCGGCATGTCTGAAACCCCCCCCAAGATCCCCCCCAAAGCCCGGAAAGCCCCAGGCCAAACCTTAACCCCCCCCCAAGAAATCGGACAGTGTGTGCCCTGCCATGTGGCCCGGAGGGTCAGCTAGGCAAAAGGATTCTGTAAGGCCAAACATGTGATGCTGGGTGGGCTCAAAAGCCTTGGCAGAAGTGTGTGCAGATCTTTGGGGCGGTGGCTTCAGGAGACCGACTCTGAACACGTGGCCAGGGCCGGTTCAGGAATAGCCCGCCGAGGGTGTCTCGGCCTCTCTTTGCACTAAGCCGCGCCCCTTGTCGCGAGCGCGTTTGCATTCTACCCTGTGGCAGCCTTTGATGTGGTTTTGGAAGACTCTTTGTTGCAACGCTCGGAACCGTAGCGTGGGCTAGGCCTTGCGACCTCAAGCAGGGTCACTTTCTCTCTTCGTGGGGCTTGGCTTTGTAACACGGAAATCTGGGGTGCAATGGGTGGAGAAGAGGGCGGGCGCCGACGACTTTTGCCCACGCTCTCGGACGAGCGAAAGGTGCGACGACTTCTTCTGTCCACATGAAAGGTGTTAAGGCCTTCAAAAGGGGGGGTGTTTACGAACACTCTTCTGTTTTTGTTTAGATCCTCTTCTGCTAGTGGTTAAAAAAACCCTCTTGTTAAAAACTGCCGCCTGACCTCGACCCTCAAGCCCGCCAGCCTGATCTTCCGCTCAAGCTACCCTCCCTCGCGACTCTCCATCCCCAAGCCTCAGCCTAACCTGTAGCCTCGGCCAGAAAACCCTAAACCCTGAACCCCAAACCCCAAACCCTAAACCCTAAACCCCAAACCCTAAACCCTAAACCCTAAACCCCAAACCCAGGTGGAACACCTGACCAAAGCCCAGCGAGCCCGACTCGAAGGTTGCGGGGGGGGGGGGGGTGGAGTGGCGGTTGGGGTCCGTTTGGGGTTTGGGGTCAAGGCTTCAGGGCTTTCGGTTCTTCAGCGTTCTGGAAATGCCTGACGGCCGAACGCGTCTTTTTGGATAAGACGTGTGGCGCTTTTGGGGTAGCTGGTTTCTGGGCCCAGGTACCGTAGTGACAAAAGCCTGAAGGCCAAAACCCTTCGAATCCTAAGCCCTGGGCCCACACCCTAAACCGCAAACCCGACACCCTGAACCCCTAAACCCTAAACCCCCCAAAAACCCCCGCCCCCTCCCCCCGCCCCAAACAAAAGCCACAAGCGCGGGAAGCTCCCTGACGCTCAGCCGCGCAAGCGGCGGCAGCTGCTGAGGCCTCGCCATCACCAAGAGTTTAGGGTTTAGGGTTTGGGGTTTGGAGTTTGGAGTTTAGGGTTAAGGCTTTTAGGGTTTTAGGGTTTTGGGGTTTTGGGGTTTTAGGGTTTTAGGGTTTTAGGGTTTTTGGGTTTTAGGTTTTTTAGGGTTTAGACTTCGCAGCACTGGCTAGTCCCCCAGCCCAGTTGCAAAAGGGTTTACGATTGCTGCTGACCGCCATCGTACTTCTTGATCCTTGGCTTCTTTTCTATGCTTGGGGTGGTTCCCTAAACCCTAAACCCTAAACCCTAAACCCTAAACCCTACACCCTAAACCCTAAACCCTAGGCCCAAAGCCCGAAACCCTAAACCCTTGAGCCCTTTTTGCTGGCTAAAGGTTCCCTTAATAAAGGAACACCCCCTCCCCCTCCCCCGTAAAAAGAAAAGACGTGTACCCTAATTATTCGCTATGGTTACTGGGCTGCCAAGTCTGTCAGGCCTGTGATGCCTTTAAACGGTGGGTGGCAAAAAACCTATGCAGTAAAGCGCCTCAACGCCATAAGCCCCAGAAACCCCGTCAAGCCCCACAACCCCCTAAACCCCCTAGACTTAGACCCCCCCCAAACCTCCTAAACCCCCTCAAAGCCCCGAAGCCCCTTCAGCCCCCTGGACTCAAACCCCCCCAAACCTCCCAAACCTCCCAAACCCCTCAAACCCCCGAAACCCCTTAAGCCCTCGAGACTCAAACCCCTCCTGAACCCCCTGAACCCCCTCAAGCCCCTTCAGCCCTTTCTGGGACACTCTCCAAACAAGTTCGATCTGCAAGTTCTCTGTGAGGTCCGGAAAAGGCCCTGGAACCCTGCAACAAATATCCCCCTAAACCCCTAGACTCAGACCCCCCCAAAACCCCCTCAGCCCCCTAGACTCAAACCCTAAACCCTAAAACCCAAAACCCTAAACCCTAAACCCTAAACCCTAAACCCCTTCAGCCCCCTAGACTCAAACCTCCAGGCCGCCGCGGCCGCCGAGGCTGCCGAGGCCGCCAAGGCCGCTCCGGAATTTTGGGTTCAACGGCTTTGTACGTCTTGGGATTCAGGGTTTAGGGTTTAGGGTTTAGGGTTCAGGGTTTAGGGTTTAGGGTTTAGGGTTTAGGACTACTTGGGTACTGGAACTTCTCAGAAGCTAAACTTGTTATTTTTGCTAGGGTTCCAAGTTCAGTCTAGTGTCGGCCAGTTCTCTGCATGATGGTCCCTCTTTGGGCCCCTTCAAAATACTAGGGGCTGAAGTATAGTAGGAATCCAAACATGGACCGTCACTTAGAGAACTCACCAATGTCTCTTGTTGCAACAAAAAAGCCCAGTTCATGGCAAGTCGACATCTTGTTTTTTCCCTCAGCTCTAAATCCTAAACCCTCAGCCCTAAACCCTAAACCCTAAACCCCAAACCCTAAACCCCCTAAGGCCCAGTTCGTGACAGTTCTACTGGGAGTCTGGGTCTCGTGTCCAGTAGGGTGCGGGCCAGCATTTTGCGATTAGGGTTCTAGGGTTTGGGACGCCTAAGCACCAAACCCTAAACCCTAAACCCTAAACCCTAAACCCTAAACCCTAAACCCTAAACCCTAAACCCTAAACCCTAAACCCTAAACCCTAAACCCTAAACCCTAAACCCCAAACCCTAAACCCTAAACCCTGAATGGTTTAGGATTCGGGGGCTGACTCAGGAAGTTCTCATTGGAAGGGCCAGTGCCAGGAGAGGCGCTTGTGGAGATTTTTGTTTCCCCACACATTGCCATGCTCCTAAAACCAAATCCCCTAAAACCCTAAACCCTAAACCCTAAGCCCTAAACCTTAAACCCTAAACCCTAAAAGGCTTCGGGAACCTCAGGGCCTTGCAGCCGAAAGCCGCCAAGTTCCGAGAAGCACCCCAGGCAGCCGCCCCGGATGGGACCAAAGAAGTCCAAGAAGTCCAGGAAAAGCCGGAGGGAGAAGCTCAGGCGGTTTATGGTTTAGTTTTTTTTTTTTTTTTTTTTTGGGGGGGGGGGGGGGGGGGGTACAACATCAGCCCGTGCAAAAAACACGGCTTTGGGTTCAGGTTTAGGGCAACCCAAACATCAAGCCCTAAACCCGAAACTTCTGGCAAAAAGGCTTGGGGGGAGGGGGCGGGGGGGGGGGGGGGGTGGACCGGAGGGGTTGATGTTTCAGGTGTAGTCTAGGGCTGCAAAGGCGAGAGAAACCTTAACAAGCCACAAACAACCTTGGAGCACTAAAGCGTTTCAAGCCCTAAAACCTGAAAACCCGAAGCCCGAAAACCCAAATCCTCAACCCTCAATCAGTTTAGGGTTTAGGGTTTAGGATTTATTAGGGTTTGGGGATCCTTAGCATCCTAAGCCTTATTTTGCATTCCTTGGGACCCAGAATAGGCCTTTTTTTTATCCCCTTTGTTTGGGGCTCTTGTGTTCCCGTCGGAGCCCCTTCAGTCGGTACCCCTTATATTCCCAGATTATTCTTAGGGTTTAGGGTGAAAGATTTCTTAGCCAATTTAGATGAACTGTAAGGTTTAGGGTTTAGGGTTTCAGGGCTTTGGGTTGCGGGGGGGGGGGGGGGGGGTCGATTGCCTGACACAACACACATGCGCCCCCCCCCCCCGTGTGCAGCTTAAATAGGGTCTATTTGGAAGCTGGGAATCGTATTTACAAGAGGAAAACAGGCCCCAAAACGTATACTTATTCACAAGAGCCATGTTCCAAATAGACCCTATTTTAGGTCCTGTAGGGTTGCACAGACAGAATTTAATTCATTAAATTCCTTAATTTCCACTTTCCCCCTGGAATTTAATGAATTTAATCAATTAATTCAATTAATTCATTTATTTCCAAAGGGGGGGGTGGAATTAATTGAATTAGTTGAATTAATTGAATTAATTGAATTAATTGAATTAATTGAACCCCCCCCTTTGGAAATAAATGAATTAATTGAATTAATTGAATTAATTGAATTAATTGAATTAATTGAATTAATTGAATTAATTGG